AGCACCCCTACAGATCCCTTGAAGGAGCCCTTTAAAGGGACCCCTATAGATCCCCCAAAGGAAACCCATAAAGTACCCCCCAGGACCCTTCGAGCAAGCAAGCCTTGAGCACAAGCCCGAAGCCCGTTGAGCTCCCAACATCTTAGGCTTCTTATGAGCCCTGAACCGCACCGGGTTTAGGGTATTAGGTATTAGGGTTCAGGGTTTCGGGGTTTCGGGGTTTAGGGTTTAGGGTATCAGGGTTTACGGTTTAGGGTATCAGGGTTTAGGGTTTAGGGAATTAGGGTAATTAGGGTTTAGGGCTTAGGGTTTAGGGGTTTAGGGCTTGGGGTTTAGGGTATTAGGGTTTGGGGGTTTAGGTTAGTACAACGACTGAGGAATGACCCCTAAACCATAAACCATTTAGAAACCCCTCCATAAGCCCTTCATAAGCTCCCAACCCCTGCATAACACTGAGAATCTCAGAAGCGCGGCCCCGCCTCGACGCCTTGTCGAGATACAACAAATCCTGCAGAAGCCAAAGCAAGTCAGTGTTGGGGGTTGTGCTGGACAACTATCACCAGCTTGGCAAACGAACAGGTTCACAGGTTCGCACGGCGTCTGTGAGTGCTAGGGGTGCTGAGGCCGCTAAGGTTCGGGGTTCGTCTTGGTAAGGGTTTGGCTTCAGACTCGAGACCGAGCCGATAAGTAGGAGGGGAGGGGGGGCGGGGGATTGTTGTTCTCGAGGGGGGAGGGGGGGGTTGTTGTTCTCGACGAACGACGGGGTCTGCAGGGGGGGGGGGGACAAGGACAGGGGGGGGGGGGGGTTGTCGTTGCTGTTGGCGGTTGCTCAATGACCCCCCGAGTCTTGCAAGCTGCCTGTGAGTGCTTCGAATCCTATCATGTCTGCAAATGGGGGGGGTGCGACGTGCTGAAGATATATGAGGAACCGGAATCGCCAAATGAGAAGGCGAAGGGCCAAATGAGTGGACGTGCTGAAGATATATGATGAACCGGAATCGCCAAATGAGGGGGCGTGTTTAAAACGCATCGCTTATAAGGGGGCGCACTGAGGATGTATGATGAACCGGAATCGCTTCCAAACCAAAGCCATGGGGGCGTGTTTAAGATATAGGATGAATCCAAAGGGCCAAATGAGGGGAGGTGCTGAAGATATGTGATGAACCGGAATCGCCAAATGAGGGGGCATGATTAAGATATATGATCAACCGGAATCGCTTCCAAAACAAAGACAAGCCGAGCCAAGCTGACAGCCAAGCCAAACCAAGCCAAACCAAGCCGAGCCATCTATATTGCGGCAGAGATAGATTACTGCATATAGACTGTAGCAACTGTAGCATGTGTACAAGCCGAAGCAACATCGAAGCCGAGCCAAGAGCCAAGGCAAGTCAAGGCGAGCAAAACAGAAGCCAAGCCAAGCCGTCGTTGTTTGGCGGGACGGGAGGGGAGAGGACGAAGAACAACAACAGAGGGGGTGGGGGGGGGGGTTGTGTCGTTGTTTGGGAGGAGAGGGGAAGGAACTTTTTCCGCCCCGCAAAGCAACAACAACTCCCCAGACAAAAAACAACAATCCCCCCCCAAGAACAGATGACAACAATCCCCCCTCCAAAAAAAACACACACACACACACACCCCTTCGAAAAAAATTAAAAAAAAAAACGCCCTCGCCCGACAACAACAGCGCCCGCCCCCCAGAACAACAACACCACCCCCCCCAGACAACAAAGAACAACAATCTGCCCGAGAACAACAACCCCTCCCACCCCGCTGCCGCTATCGGCTACATCTGTCAGACTCTGTCAACCAAGCTCTATAAATAAAGGCAGTTTGATACTCCAACTCCAACCTCTTTCTCCGCATCTGGGCACTGCAAGCGCACGGCCTCGCAGCAATGAGTTGCAGCATGCAGTCAAGAAATCGCTTGTCACTTCAGGCACATCCGTTCTATATGTCCGTTTCAAATGCTATCCGGGCAGCCGAAATCCTCTGACTGCAAGGCAGTAGCATTGTTATGAATATGTACAATCCATCTACGCACAAACCTAAAGCCTCAAAACCTTGTAGACCCGATCCATGCCCTTGCGAGGCCCGAAGGCGCAGCCTCGGGTCGAAAGGCCAATGTCTGCCCTAACACCCGACACCCAAAAACTAACTAACTAACTAACTAACGCCCCAATCTCTGCCCTAACACCCCTACCCTAACGCCACGAAGGGCGAGAACCCGACCGAGCCTAACTAACGCCGAGAAGGGCGAGAACCCGAGCCGAACTAACGCCACGAAGGGCGAAGAGAACCCGACCGAGCCTAACTAACGCCGCGAAGGGCGAGAACCCGAGCCTAACCAGCGCCACGAAGGGCGAAAACCCGAGCCTAACTAACGCCACGAAGGGCGAGAACCCTAGCCTAACTAATGAACAAAAACCTGACCTAAAACCCCACGAAAAAGCCTACCTAAAACCCAAATACTCTAAACGCTAAACCTTTTAGGGTCAATGCTTCAGGGTTTAAGGCTTCGGTTAAAAGCTCTGGGAACACGTTGCGTTTTGATAGTACTTGGAGTGCAAGCTTCAGGGTTTAAGCGTAGACTTTACACGATGCTTGGAAGTCGGACCGAACTTGCGGAAACATTGTTTAAATGAGGGTTTAGGGTTTAGGAAATGCCACTTCCGGAAGCTTCGGCTGATCATGTGCAGGACAACGGCACCCTGGCTACTGATCGAAGAAACATTTACAAAGAAGAACTTCAAGCACGGGATGTTAAGCAACAGTTCGCTTCTCAGAGTGCAGCCAGCTCAGCCTGTGACCACTCGGCTCGACACCAAAGTCTGCAGCCAGGGGCTGCGTCTTCAGCATCTGAACTCAGTCGGTTGTGAGATGTTGTGTTGTGAGCATGAGCGCGCAGCTCGGCTAAGGCATTGCAAACAAATAGCCCAGGCCCTATTAACCCTAAACCATAAACCCTGGACGGTGAGGAGGGTGATGGTGGTGGTGACGGAGACGCTGGTGCTGACAGACACAGCAAACACAGAGACACATGACTACCAGAACACCATGGCATACCATGGCTATGACGAAACGCAGCTGACACCCTTATGAAAAAGCAAGTGTGCATATGTTCGTCTAGTCTAGGCGTATACATTTATGTACATTGTATTTCTTCAGTGTTTATCCCTTGCATTTGCGCAGGCATTGCACGTGCATATGGATATGCACAAGCTCTAAGTTTCTACATGCCGACATGACTTGATGCATCTATGTGCGTATGTTTGGTCGCTTGCTTGTCTGGGTGTGTGACTGTCTGTTTTGAAGACTCGTTCGTACACACACATACACGCACCGCAAAACCTCCTGCCAAACCAATCACCTTACAGTCTGGACTCCGAATCCCAACAGCACCTGACCGGCTTCGCTCTAAGCTCTACTGCGTTTTGAATCCAAACTCTATGGCACTATGGGCATTCGGCATTCGGGCTTGGGCTTACGAATTTGTGGTTACGTAAGGGCTCGGGATGAGTTCCTGTCTTGTCGCACCTCCATGTGCAATATCACTTCGTTGGTCTATCGTCTTTCCTCACATCGAATTTTTCCGTGGTGCGCACTGCTCTCGCGAACGATCTCGGCGCGGCTTGGGTGTTGGTTTAAGTCTTGAGGTCTTACCCTGGCCACCTCGCCCTAAGCCTGGGATTTTAGGGTTTTGGCATTTTGGGGTCCAGGCCTTTAGGGCTTTTTTTGAATGACTTGGGCAATTACAAACAAACGAACAAACAAACAAACAAAGCAACAAACAAGCAAGCAAAACAAACAAACAAACAAACACACAAAGAACCTAGCAAGCAAAGAAGTAAACAAACAAGCAAGCAAGCAAGCGATCAAACAGCGACAACCACTAACACAACCACAACCTTTGAATAGAAGAACGAGCTTTGCAAGTGTTGCCTCCGGCCTTGGTCCTCTCCCAAACTCCAAATCACAAACCCCCCACCCTCAACCCCAAGTCCGTCACCCCTCAACCTTCGTTAAACCTACGGCCCCAAAAACTGAACACCGGGCCCCAGGCAGCCCGAAGCGCCGCGGCTCGGAGCCCACGGCAAACCAACACTTGGGGTCTCTACAGTCTGGGGGTTATTGTTCCAAGCCCACTTCGCACGTGAAACACTTCTTGAAGAGGGCTTCATGTCGGGGTTGGATATCAGCTGCACAGGCAACCCAAGTGGACTGCGCCATGTTGCGATCCGAACATGCACGTCAAAGCATTAATGAACACCCACAAGTTGTCAGCGCTTGTTTTGGCTTGTCCCGAGAGACCGAGACACGAGAAAACTTGAGCTTGGAAATCTGCAGCTTAAGCGAAAGAATGCTGGTTTGTTCCATCAACATAGGCCTGGATAATTTGACTTAGGGTTTTGGGTATTTGAAACGCCGACGCAATGCCAATCTCTTAGGCTCGAAGTCCCATTGCTGACGGAGTAAGAAGCCAGCCCTACGGATTCAAGGCGATGTCTATGCACCAGCAGCAAGATCGAGGGCACGTTGCTCGCAAGACGGGGCGTGTGTTTCGCATGCGGGATCGTGGTGGTTCTTAACCTCAACAGCGTCTGCACTTGAACCATGACGGTGCCCGGTACGTCGCTATTTCCGATGTTTTCAACACATTCCAATACCCTACTTGGGTCATCCAACTTTGATCGCTTCCATCTGCAAACGCGACCGAGACCCTTGCTACCCCCGCATGACAAGGCGAGGGGGTTTGAGGGCCCCGTGGGCCCCAGGAGCCTATTGTCCTCGGGCTGAAGGTCTAAAGTTTCGCGGCTTCAGGTTTTAAAAATTGACGGAATCACATGCAACACATGGACTCATCTTCCTGTTTTCACCGCGCCTCAAGAGATGGTTGTTCGCTGCAGAGGGAACGCCCCGAACAGCATTCCATGTCCGGCAGTCTTCGCCATGCAAGATTCCACTCTCCACCAGAGGCGTCAAGTAGCTTCTGCTCAGCTCAGACATCAAAAGACCCGCTCAGCATAGACGGCGAGGTCTAAGCCTCGCAACTGCAAAGCTGCCAACTGTCAAGCATGAACTGTCGAGTGCCGTCTAAGCCTCGCAACTGCAAAGCTGCCAACTGTCAAGCATGAACTGTCGAGTGTCGAAAGCACAACAAGCCACACACCCCAGCTGCCCGGCACCCCCGCCCACTTCCTGACACTTGTCTGCGCCTGAGCGGATGCGCAGGGCGGGCTGCGGCGAGGCCCGCCGCCCGTGCACCTGCATATCGGACGAGCTCGAGTCAGGCAATAGCTTTCGGAAGCAACATCTAGGGTCGTCTTCAATTGTTGAGAGATGTTGCTGCAAGCCCGTTTGGCCCAACAAGGTGAACAGGCTACGCTTCTCGGCCTCGAAGCCGGGGCAGCATGGCCGCCACCACCATTCGAAGGCGTCACGAGTGGTGTAGCAGTACACCTTGCAAACTCGAGGGCTTGGTAGGGGGTTTCGGAGTCTGCTGTGGCCGGTGGCTTCGAGGATTTTGGGCTGCAAATGAAGGGGGATTCTGACGGTCCGGGATCACACCAGCACTAAGGTGGTGGTTTTGTGGAATGCCAACACCCTCACTTAATCACTATCTAGCATCACCAGCACCATCGACACCATCAGCCGCAGTCGCCTCCTACGAGCAGCAACGTCACCCTCACCATCACGTCCATCACCGTCACCATGGACCTGCCATGGCTGAAGCACTGATCGACATCGTAAAAAGCACTTCCCGTGTAAGATTTAGTGCATGCATGTGCCGCCAGATCCTCCTCATGACACCGCTCCGCATGGAGATTTCAACAAGTTGCAGGTGCTATTTCTTCAACTTGAGGTGAAGTAGGATTCGCGATGATAAGGGGATTGCCACGGATGTGTTGATGTGACGATGGTCATTAGAACACAACAACAACAACGACAACAACAACAACGACAACAACAACAACGACAACAACAACAACAGCAACAACTACAACAACAACAACAACAACAACAACAACAACAACAACAACAACAACAACAACAACAACAACAACAACAACAACAACAACAACAACAACAACGACAACAACAACAACAACAACAACAACAACAACAACAACAACAACAACAAAAAAAACAACAACAACAACAACAACAACAACAACAACAACAACAACAACAACAACAACAACAACAACAACAACAACAACAACAACAACAACAACAACAACAACAACAACAACAACAAGAACAACAACAACAACAACAACAACAACAACAACAACAACAACAACAACAACAACAACAACACCAACACAACAACAAAACAACACCAAAACAACAACACCAACAACACCAACAACACCAACAACACCAACAACACCAACAACACCAACAACAACAACAACAACAACAACAACAACAACAACAACAACAACAACAACAACAACAACAACAACAACAACAACAACAACAACAACAACAACAACAACAACAACAACAACAACAACAACACACACACAACAACAATAATCAAAAGAGCGACAACAACAACACCGACAACAACAGCAACAACAACAACAACAACAACAACAACAACAACAACAACAACAACAACAACAACAACAACAACAACAACAACAACAACAACAACAACAACAACAACAAGTGACATGTTGACCGGACGAACGAGCACAAATATTGATGGTGCGGCTGGATGATGACGATGATGCTGAGTGTCGAAATGACGCTGCCAGTTTCGGCTATATGCCAGGTGCAACAGGACCAGCAGTACCGTGATGGTATTGTGGTGTACCAACACGCCGTCACCAATTTTGTCGATGCTGCCGTGATTTCTGCCATCACCAGCATCACCAGCACCGTTAGTCGCGATCCGTTCCCCCCACCGTTGACCACCTTGACGAACGGCTCCGTCAACCCTCACCATCAGTTCCATCAACATCATCCTCTATATCATCAACACGGTCATCATCAGGAACCTGCCATGGCTGATGCACGTACATGCCGCCAGATCCCCCTCATGAACCCGAACAATGCATTGCGCTTTGCATCAGTGCTTGGTGAACGCACTGCGTTTGAGACGGGGCACTGTTGGCACCGCCAGCTGCTGCACCTCCTGAATGCTTGTCGCCAAAGAACTTCGACATCGGAACCGACTGCAGAGGACTAGCTTCGAGATCTCAACAAGACACTGTTCTGGTGACACATCTCGGCGAAAGATCTTCACTTGATGACCCGCGGCACGGTTCCGATGGTCTGGCTGTCTTCAGGGCTTCGCGTAAGCTGGGCATGCAAGTTCCGACGTGGCTCAATCCAAATCCTGCGAAACCCCGGAAGGCCAAGGAAGGCTGTGCTTAGTCGTAGATGCACTAGATTGCTCTAAACACCCAGCAACTCCCAGCAAGAGGACCTACAAGACGGAGGGTTGATGCCATGGATCCGCAGGCAATCGAAATCACATCCAAGTCCAGAACATCCGATTAGCTGTTGCGCAGTAGCCAAAAAAACACCAGATAATGAACCCATGGGTCGTGCGAAACATCCAACACAAAGGGGACCACATGTGCCCCAGAGGAACCTCGCCATCAGCCGCCTCTGAGCCCTGACAAAAAGGCGTGATTTGCCGTTGTGGTGGTATTGGTTGCGGTAGTTTTGTAGTTGCAGTCGGAGTCGTTGTCCATTGACGATTGCAATGGCGGATGATGCGATAGCCATGGAGGATTCATTCGGGGTGGACGGCGCAAAAAAAAACGACGTGTCATCTTGATGATCGCCGTTGGCATGCTGATTAGCTTCTTCGTCGTTGATGTTCATATGCATGCATGTCAAGGGAGCACTAGCAGCATCTGACATGACTCTCTCGGTCCAAACTTCAGATCTAAGCAGTCGCCACACCCCTCGGTTGTCGCCGATTGGCCTCAGCGTTGGAAGGCCTGGAGCCCAAACACGCTAACTCCAACCCCAACCAAATCAAAACTAACAACACCAGAACACCCCGAGAGTTGAGATTCCCAAAAGCCCGACGTTCTTGAAATCAAACCCGATGCATCAAACCCTAATCACTCTCCGAACCTCGCCATCGCTCTGCGGCATTGCCACTTCTGCGCTCGTGGCCTCACTGCAACGGTTCGTGAGGTTTGGAGTTTAGGGACAACTGCATGGGTTCCATAACCCCCCTAGAAACTCGTTCGGCTTGTACTACAAAACTTCTTTAGCTTTGGGGTTTCGGGTTTAGGGGTTCGGGCACGAAGGTGTCGACTCCCATGATGCAGGCACGCATTCCAGCGAGAAGTCCCCGCGAACCAAGCCCTACAAGCAAGACGGGGCGAGACGCAACTCAGCGCTTCCCCCGACTTCGACGCGATACGCTCTTACAACTCGCTCCCTGCCGCTTCAAGGTTTCGGGACAGCTCCAGCAAGGTTGAACAGTTAATTCCCGGATACAGGGTTCGGGGGGTACGTGGGTCCAGTTAGGTGGTTTATTAGTAGGCGAGTGGAAGGCTTAGGTATAAACGGATGAAGTAAGGCTGTGTACAAACGGGATGACCCCAGCAATTAAGCGACTGAATGCTAGCAGCACTAGCCAACTTGCTACATCTCCGATCCTTCAAGCCGGGTTTTTGGTGCGACTCCCACAAAAGAAGGGGACCAACACACCGTCGGCACAACTCGAAAACTGTGAAGAAAACAATGCAACATAGACGAACACTACACATTCTCATGCAATTTCTTGTCTTGGGTTTTGGGGGCCTGCCTATTCATAAAACGAAGAAGAAGAACACATTAACGTAAGCGTTCCGAAACTGCTGGCGGTGTTTGTCATGAGAACCGTGATACGAACATGATACACCATGAAAGGAACAAGCACCAGAGTCCTGACAAAGAGGTGTGCTTGCCGATGTGGAATGTGGTGGTGTTGGTTGCGGTAGTTTTGTGGTTGCAGTCGGAGTCGTTGTCCATTGACGATTGCAATGGCGGATGATGCGATACCCATGGAGGATTCATTCGGGGTGAACGGTGCAAAACAAAACGACGTGTCATCTTGATGATCGCCGTTGGCATGCTGATTAGCATTCTTCGTCGTTGATGTTCACATGCATGCCATCATTGCCATGGAAGCGCGCGAAGAAGGGAGCAGTAACTGCATCTGACATGACTCTCTCGGTCCAGACTTCAGATCTAAGCAGTCGCCACACCCCTCGGTTGTCTCCCCTCCCTCCGCGATTTCAGAACCGTCTGCAGGTGGCCGGAACAAAAACCGAAATTACCACGCTCAACATAATCCGAGAAGGCGCGTGCTGATCCCGCGAGATGCGCAGCGCCGCCAGGAGCCTGAGGAATCATGAACACTTCATCAATCGAGCTCTGCAAGTTCGTGCCGAAGCAACATCCTAAACCCAGCGCTGTCTGAACATCTGCGGCCCTGGCCGCTCGGCGTTCTGGACGACATCGAAAGCCTGCCAGAATGCCAGCGACCCAACTGCTGGGACAACAAGTGGCGACCACCACCACCACCACGACCACCACTACCCTGACTACAGCTTCTAATACCACTATCACTATCGCGAGTGACCAGTGACCAGGACCAGGATTTCAATACAGTTAACAGTCATTCGGTGCGACACCTGCCGCCATACCACATTGGCTTGGCCATCAGACAAAAGGGCAAACTTCCGAGAACCCCAGCTCAGCCAGGCCCTGCCCGGCACTGCTCAAGCGACCCGACGGCCTCCAGCTGCTCCTTCCTGAGCGCAAGCGGGATAGGAAGCCAGCAGCCCAGCAGCCCGCCCTTTGCTCTTTGAAAAAAGACATGGCTTTGGCCGGGCTTCTGAATGACCTCGGCTTCCTCCGCGACCTCCCTGCACGCAGCGGCCAAGTCCGCCAGCTTCCTGAGCTGGCTGCGAGGTGAGGGTTTAGCCATGGAGCACCTGTGAACCTATGAGCTACATCACCCCAGACTCGAACAGCTCGAATGCAACCGGCGATCGACGTGGGGAACCTCCTCGTGGTGATCGCTGGTAACAGGGGGCTTAGATGCAAGCAAAAAAATGATGGGCCGTGGATTGCACTTAACATTTGTCCATGACATGTTGTGAACTCTGCAATCGGAGAAGCACGATGACGGAAGCACCAAAGCAGGTGCACAACCCCCCCTGGCTAACCCATGCCGCAAGGTGTTCGCCATTGTTGTAGGCTTTCGGATTGGTCGTCTGATGCGGAGGCGACGGGACCCCACAACCTAACGGTAGTCTCCAGCTGGGTTCTTTCAGTTTTGGTGCCTGGACGGGGGTAATCCGCATGCTGCTTTGGGTGTTGGGGCCCGGATGCGTGAGCTGAACGGTTCCGCCCAAAGCAGCGGAGGCTATCGTGTCGGACTGTTTTTGGGTGGGCAGTCGGACGAAACACGTGATTTCGGGACACATCGTGGCGGTAGCGACGTTGCGTACTACACCCCTGAGACTCCTTCCTCATCTTCTTAGCTGGTAGTCTTTAGGCTCGAACATGCTTGGCGATAGGTCCTGAAGGGATGCGTCGAGCTACGGTCCTCAGACGTAAAAGATTGCGCAGACTAGCAATACTTCGTCGAGTGCGGCGCGGACGCTCATACAATCGACATCGGAGACAAATCCGTCGGTGGCGTATCGGGGCGTGGAACGTTCGTCGTTGGGGCAGCACGGGGGTGCCATATGATCCGTGGACCAAGACGGTATGTCTTCTTCGACTCGCGGAGAAACGAGGGTGGGATGCCATACTGTTGGCCGACGTCCGCTTCGAAACGGATGGGGTACATACGGTGGCTTTGCCTAACGGGGGGAAATGGAAAATCATCGTGGCAGGGAAAGTGGCGGTGGCACTGGCGGCAAACCTGGCGTCCATGTGGGAACAGCAGGGCTGTCACAAACTCATACCCACGGCGTCGAACGGACGCGCATTGTTGGTGCGCATTCCGGGCGATAATCACACGGCGGGACTGGCGTTAATCGCGGTATACGGCCCGATCTCCAGCGCTAGACAGGCGGATCGGGATGATTTTTTGGACCAAATTCGGCGAGCAAAAAGAGGCGTAGGTTCACGAGACATACTGATCATTGGCGGGGATTTCAACGCGGATTTTGACACACAGAGGGAGAACGGTACAAGACCACGAGTGGTAGGGCGTTGGGGTGGGGAGCGTACAAACCGCAGCGGTACGGACCTCTTAGACTTTTGCGACCAAGAGGCTCTCAGTGTAACGGATACGTTCTTTTATCAACCGATACGCAAACGACATACATGGTGGCACCCAGCGCGAAGAACGGGACATACCATAGATCATTTTCTGACTAAGCAAACGCAACGACGCTTCGTGGACGCTGTCAGAACGGTCCATGAGGGTAGACGGGGGAATGCGGGTGACCCGCTCCAGAGGGTGCGTTGGGGACGAGGCGACCAAGGGGGGTCTTCGGATTATTGGGATGATTATACGGATCATTTGCCCATAGAGATATGCGTACACTTCTGGCCACAATGGACTCGAACGCGAAACACAGTAACGAATCGACATGTCCCCATGCCCAACATGCAATCCATCGTGTTATCAGGCCAGGAGGCTCAACAGAAAAAGGCTGAGTGGCACCAGAAACTAGACCAACAACTGATTGCATTGGGCGGTAACCAACGTCAACTTACATGGAGTGAGATATCTACGGCATGTGCCGATACGAGTTTACAAGTTTTCGGCCCGGTACCCAGGAAACAAAACCAACCACATCTGATAGGACATGAAAGAGAAAATACACAGTTAGACAGAGACGTAGCAGATGCGTTGGCGCATCGTCGCAGTTTTAGGGACGACGTGTTACCACGCACTCCTCTCAGGCAGCAGGCGTACGATACGGCAGTTCAACAGGCCCGAGCAGCGGCACAAACGCGTAAACGAACCCGGCGTCGTTGGAAGTGGGAATGGGTTGACAGGATCACAAACGAGGTGTCAACGGCGCATGTCGATGGTGATATGCGCCAAGTCTTTGCGTTAAACAAGGAATTAGGCATTCGAGATGAGCGACTTAAACAGAGAGCGGTATCCAGCAGCAGAACCGTAATGGATCCGGAAGCCGAAAGAGAAGCATGGAAGGAACACTTTCGGAAAATTCAGGAACATAGAGAGGTAGCTAGTGATAGAGTTTGGCAAAACGTAGCATCCAATCCGGAGGTGGCGCACTGGTTGTCTATCGAGCCCACGGACGCGGAAATTTTAGAGTGTGGAAAGAAGATGAAAAACGGGAAAGCAGCAGGAATTGATGGGTTCCTGGCCGAGTTCTATAAATATGGCAGCCAGATGCTCATTCAGCAAATCAACGGGGTCGTGAGGGAAATGTGGCGATTTGCGGTACAAGCGCCAAACGGAATGGAAGCGAACGCGTGGCCAGATGCCTGGAATGAGGGACTCGTTGTACCACTTTGGAAAAAGAAGGGCAACAAAGCGGATAAAACGACATGGCGGGGAGTCACGTTGTTGAGTGTTGGGTCCAAGTTGTTAGCTCGGGTGGTTGCGCAAAGGACTCTGAAATGGTCGGATCCCTGGCTCCATGAAGCGCAGGCTGGCTTCCGGAAGGGGAGGGGCGTGGATGATGTTTTGCAGGTAACTCGTCGAATTGTGGAGGAAGCCAGCGCGTGCCAGGCCGATGATTCTGTAGTTTTGATTCGGTTGTTTGATATCGAGAAGGCTTATCCGCGAGTAAGTCGGGACACGTTGTGGATGTTAATGAAAAAGAAGGGGGCCCCCAACGGGTTTATCAAGATTTGCCAAGCACTCCACGAACACACAAGGTATTCAGTGAAGGTTTACGGCGGAAATTCCTCATCGTACGCGGCGGATAAAGGTTTGCGGCCAGCCCCCCGCTTTTCAATGTCTATCATCAAGCGGTCATGGAGGATTTTCGAGTACGAAGACAGGCGCAGGCACAGAATCTGGGGCTGGAACCGGGGTTGCCGTGGACAGTCAAGGTGGACGGCAGGGTGGATCACCAGTTTCACAGTCGCGGGCACCTGTTCCGACGTAGTCATGACACGGTACTGGGAGACGTGGGTTTCGCAGATGACACTTGTTTAATTGGAGTGGCGGAAGAAATGCGATCGGCTGAAACCTTACTGGAAAACACGATGTTGGATTGGCGGGAAAAAGTCCACCCAGGAAAAACGGAAGGTTTACGAGTATCCACTACACCAAGGGCGCCTTTTGATGTGCGATATAAGGGTGAACTACCGGTGGTGCGTCACGTGGGGGGAATGCTACAGGAAACGGGGGGACAACAGTCGGATACCGCGCATCGCAGGTCGAAAGGCTTTTTCCGCATAGCACAAACTGCCAGGGCATGGCATTTTGGTACTAGATCACAACAGAGTAAGATGCCACACAGTATCCGAGTCAAAATTATGAAAACAGTACTAATGCCGACGTTAACTTGTTTTGGGCGATCACGTTCATGGAATCGAGATAGCATACGCGGTATGCAACAGGTAGTCGATTACGCGGTCCAGAGATGCCTCAATGTGCGTAGGCATTGGAAACGCGCTCACCATGTGTCGTCGGAAATGTTGAACGAAATCGCGCAATGGGAACCTTTCCACCACACGATTGCACGACAAAGCCTGTTTTGGCTCGGACACTTGGCACGAATGGGCACCCATCGCCTGCCCAAGCAGGCAGCGTTTGGTTTTTGGAAAGGTCATATGATTCGCGAACGGCCGATAATGAGGCAAGGACAATGGTTCAAATACTTATTGGCGCAGATTCAAGTATCACAGCTGGACTGGTTTCGATTAGCACAGGATCGAGTAGCTTGGAAAAGGGCGGTGGTAACGGAGTTTCCCACGGGATCTCCCTCTCGAAACAAAATTCGTAGGCTGAACGAGTTTCGATTGTCAGACGGAAGCCCGGGCATACATGAATTCGCATACAGACGGGAGAAACGCAAACGGGAACGCCAAATGGTCAAAGACTCAGCAACGGGCATGTATCACTGCCCGATGTGTCCTGCCCGTTTTGACAAGGCCAACAGTCTCAAGTATCACTATGACGACAAACATGCGGTAGCTGACCCAGACCTTCTGACCGTACAAATGTATTCATGTGACGATTGTGGCCAAACATGGCGTGTTGAAAAACGGCGGCGTGAACATGTGTGTCCAGCGGCTCCTAGAGTGCGGGGGCCACCCAAAATTCATCCGCTCGGCAACTGTCGGTTGTGTGGAGAACAAATGATAGTGCCAAACTTGGAGAGACACGAGGCCGTTTGTCGCGGCCCGGGCAACGCGAATCTAACATGCATTCGGTGTGGAAAGGTTTTGGGGTCTGTTCAGGCCCGGAAAAATCATGAAGCTCGGAACAACTGTGTGTGATCCGCGAAGCGCTCGAAATCGATCGTTGGGCCGTTCGGGTCGGGGCGGGGGATGCTGCGGTGGTGGTCGGGTCGCGTGAGGGGGGGTGCGCGTCGCGCCGTTTTTGTCGGGGGGGCTGTGGGGTTCGCATAGTCGAAACGTATCAACCCTGCCAGACCCGCCACGGTGCACGTCACACGTGGGGACAGCCGGGGCACGACCCACGGCTAGGTAGGGACGGGCCACGTGCCTGTACCCCAGGGTCATGAGCAGAGGTTGCATGTAAGGGGTCCGTGTTTTTGGTATGGGGGGGGTTATAGTGCGCGTTTTTCGTCGTATGTGCACGGGACGCAGTGATCTTGGCTCGAATCCGTTTCATAGCCATGGCTACTGACCGTAAGCCGAACAAGATGACGAAAGCACTCCAGGGCGACGTTGGGGAGCTCAGGGAACAAGTGGCACAGCAGGGGCACGAGATCTCGTCGTTGCGTCGTCGGGTGGACCGATTGGAAAAATCGACCCATCTCGTGATTGAAAACGGAAGTCGTCTGGAGGAGCTTTTCAGCAAGGCAGAGGCATCCCGGGAGTGTAAAAACTTAGCCAGCGACGCCGCGGCGTCGATCCTACGTGAGCTTAGTGTTCTGACTCGACTGCCCATGCCTCTCCCGGAAGTGCCACCTGAATCATGGCACGCCTCGAACAATGAACATGCTGACATATGCATCGATGCTACTGTGTCTTGGTGGGGGTGGGCCCCCGCCCTTTTGAGTGCCACCCGCTTCGTATCGCCCAACAAGACCAGATCCCGGAAAGACGAGACTACTGGAGAGTGGCGTCGGGCGCCGGGGCATTTTGTTCTAAGACTGGAATTCGGGGAGGCCTCACTTCGGGTGCAACAGGGATTGCAGGGAGCGTTGGGGCAGTGGATCGGGAAGGCGGTGAAAGCCGTTCGTGAGAAAGGTGAGGCCTCGTTTAACCTGTACTTGGACAAGACGCCGGAGGAGCTGGAACGTAAGCGTAAGCGGGCAGGATTGGATATGGGAACGTCGTCCTCGGGCCGAGGAGGAGGGGGGAAAGGCAAAGGTGGGAGGAAGGGCAAAGGCAAGGGAAACAAGGGTGGCAACTCCAGAGGGGGCGGGGGTGGCCGCCGGGGGGCGAACTGAGGGCTGCGGTCAGCAAGGCCTAGGGCCTAAAAGTTTCACCGAACTGTAGGGAATGCAAGAGTCGTATGTATGAAAGCTAGAGCAGTGGTTCAGGTAGACAACCGTACTGAAGAATGACGCACGTCCCTAGAGTTTATAGAGGCATACGCCGTTCCCCTCAAAAATTTTGCTTAGGAAGTGTCTAGTCCAGTTGTTTTCTGGTGTTTAGAGGCTCTGTCGCGTTCCAAACCCTTTAGTTATCGTACTGCAGTTTCACAGCATGGTTTGAGCAATGGTTCGCTGGTAGTTTGACTCAGAGAGGAACGGAGGGTGGGCTGCTTGGATTAATTATTGCTGCGGACATGTGCTTGATTCAGTTACGTGTTGTGGGCAGCTAAGTAAACACCCGTAATCTGTCTGTCTGTCTGTCTGTCTCGAATGCAACCTTGCACAACTCAAGGGACAGCCTGGCGTCTGATCGCTTCGTGCCTCGCCGTCCTCGGGCTGTCGGCTCTCCTCGCGGGGGCGGAGGAGGGGGGGTTGGGGGGGTGATCCATGAAAAACTTGTAGCGTCTTTGAATGTCACAGCGCCTGCAAGCGAAGACAGAAGATCAAGGATGGACGTTCGCGTGACAAACCTGTAGTGTCTTTGAATTTCACAACACAAACACAAACACAAACACAAACAAAGATACAGTAGTTGAAGGGTGGACGTTCGCGTTCCAAACTTGTAGTGTCTTGGAATTTCACAGCGCCTACTCACAAAGATACAGAAAAAAGCGGCGGACGTTCGCGGTACAAGTTTGTGGCGTCTTTGAATGTCACAGCCTGCCACAGCGCCTGCAAACAAAATACAGAAATTCGAGGGTGGACGTTTGCGTTACAGACTTGTGGCGGCTTTGAATGTCACAGCACAGACAAACAAAATGGAGAAGATCCACGGTGGACGTTCGCGTTACAAACTTGTAGCGTCTTCGAATGTCGTTTACGTTACAAACTTGTGGATCAACTTGTGGCATCTTTGAATGTCACAGCGCCTGCGAAGAAATTGCAGAAGATCTAGGGTGGACGTTCGCGTCAGAAACTTGTAGCTTTCACAGCGCCTGCAAACAAAATACTGAAAATCATGGCGGACGTTTGCGTTACAAACTTGTGGCGGCTTTGAATGTCACAGCGCAAACACAAACAAAGATACAGCAGTTCAAGGGTGGACGATCGTGTTACAAACCTATAGTGTCTTTGAATTTGACAGCGCCATACAGCGCCTACAAACAAGGATGGACGTTCGTCCTACAAACTTGTAGCATCTTTGAATGTCACAGCGCCATAAAGAGCCTGCACAGAAAATGCAGAAGATCAAGGGGAAAACGCTTGCATTGCAAACTTGTCGTGTCTTGGATTGTCAAAGCGCTTGCAAACAAAGATGCAAAAATTCAAGGGTGGACGTTCGCGTACAAAACTTATAGTGTCTTTGAATGTCACAGCACATGCGAAATAAATGCAGAAGATCAATGGTGGACGTTCGCGATACAAACTTGTAGTGCCTTTGAATTCCACAGCCGCTGCAAACAGAGTAAAGAACATGAAGGGTGGACGTTCGCGTTGCAAACTTGTAGCATCATGAAGGGCAGTGAAAATGTTGTCTTGTGCAACTTCATTTGATTCTGGGTCTGGGGTGCTGGGCTAGGCTGGGTCGCCAACGTGTCACAAACAAAGACAAGCTATCTTTATTTTATTTCTATATTGAGTGTTTAGGGTTCGGGGTGTTAGGGCTTAAGGTTTTGGGGTTTTAGGGTTTAGGGCTGTGCAGCATGGGACTGGAGAGTCGCTTGCAGGGTTGGGCTGCGGCTCACCAATTGAAACCGAATTACTGAAACTTCACTTACCACCTGCGCCTGCAGGCAGCCTGAATGCCTCAACACCTGGGCATGAACTACTAAGTAGTACTCCCAATCAACATTATTTGTCAAAGTCCACAGTTCGGAACCTTGCCCCACTGCAACAGCCGCTTCTGCCAAGATACCCCAGCCTCCCAGCTTTCAGGGACCTCGAGGATGTGGTTCCACCTGGGCCACGATGAGAAACGAGGCTGAACGGAATCTGCGCACATTAACGCTCAGCGTACATGGATGTGCCAAAAACCCGCCCAACTGAACCTCACTGAAGCCTCTTGGGTCTGTAATGCGAAAGAAGGAAATCACGTTAAACAAAGAGTATCATCTCACCGGTGATAGCAAACGATAGGAAAACACTGGAAAACTGGTAACTAACAGCCAGCAGAGTATAATAATAACAGCACTCTTACGACGCCGACGACTCCTCCTCCTGCTGCTGCCAGATCTATTACCACAACTACAGCACATCCGAAGCAGGGCCCGGGCCCTGATCCCTAGAGGCCCTGCGACCGAAACTACACTCGAGCTCTGAGACTTCGACAGATCATGACCCGGCGAAGAGCAGCTGGGCTCCTGCAAGAGCCGGTATTGGGGTTTGGGGAAGTGTTTGCGGCTTAGGGGAAAGTCCGTGCTGATGTCTTGGGGCTAGAGTGTCAGCCTCAATCAGTCTTTCTCCGCTTTACCCTTGAACCGTGCCTTCTCCATGATAGAAGCCTGAAGAATTATCAAGATTGTTCTCTTGACCTGTTTAGACTTACACTGTAAGGGACCACAAAGCCCTATTCTAACCATTAAGACTCCTCACATAAAGGCCGATTTGGGGCATACTATACTATAACTACAATAAGCATGGTCTATACCTCTTGCGGCTTCTACATTACAATAGTCTGGCACGTCGGAACAGGTTCCGTGCACTGCTCACACTGTAGCAAATAGACTTGCTGGCGCGGCCCTTACTGCTGCCCTGGCCCTCAGGGGTGAGGCAGGATCGTACGTACCGTTACGTCAGCATTTTGACGCCCCTCCGGTCGTCTTCCCACCGGGTGCTGCATTGTCGGCTGCCCTTATTCAGGCTATTCGCCCTTCGGCTCAACAGGGTCTTCTTTCCCCGCTGATTATCTCAAGCCCGTTCCCTTGGCTGTGGCCTCACTAGATAATAGGTAAGGACATTGGTAATCTCGTTAATCCATTCATGCGCGTCACTAATTAGATGACGCGGCATTTGGCTACCTTAGGAGAGTCATAGTTACTCCCGCCGTTTACCCGCGCTTGTTTGAACTTCATCACTTTGACATTCAGAGCACTGGGCAGAAACCACATTGCACAGACACCTTCTCAGGCCATCGCAGCGCTTTGCTTTGCCCATCATCGATGGTCACATGGACTTTTTCCTCAACCCATGCTACCCGAAACCCGGCTGTGAGTGGAGCTCCTCGCTACCAGCCGAGGCGGTGGTAGGACTGATCGTAGGCACCTCGTGGAAAGCTGCACTGACGTCCTACAACTGCAAGATGTAGCGAATGTAGCCAAACGGAAGCTTCCGATCCCTGCTGCCCATCCCCGGCGCCTCGCTGATCGCGTGCACCCTCTTGGGGCTGCGCGGGCTGGCGTTGCCCACATCTAGATCGCCTGCCTTGGAAGAGCTCGAAGCTCCGAGGCTATCGGAAGCGTAGGATTTGTATGGAGACGAGGAAAAGTGCCTAGCCTTGGTCCCGCCTTTTGCACCCCATGTAGACATGTCTGACATCGTGTCGTCGGAACTTGTCGGGACAAGGTGGGCTCCCACTCCGGAACCTATGCGGCAACTGCAGCCTTTGCTACAAGTCTAGCACAACGACTCAAACCACGCCGGCATCCGCACTGGACCGTTAGTGCGGAAGCCAACCATCGCAAACTGCCGTCAAAGTCAGAGCTACTGCATGTCAGGGAGGATTTTGTGATTCTGCATCCCCACTCCACCCCCGGCCTCGGTGGAGGCTTCGAACTTCCGATCACGCTCGGACTCCAGGGCTTTCAGCAAACAGCTGGTCCGAGGGTCCACCTGCACTTTCCCAGCAGAGCATGAGGGCTAGTTCGGAGAAAAAAGCAGCGATATGTGTGTCCATATTTTGGGGTGACATGCCCCTACCCCACCCCCCACCCACCACCCGAAAAGGTCAGCAAAGCAACGCAAATCATGCATCGAAAGGCCCCTTTTGAGGAGGGAGCTTTCGTGATGTGGGCGTTCTGGTCTCCGGCAGATTACAGTTCATGATGCAGTCTTGGTGGAGCAAGCGCAGGTCCTCTGCAGGTTTGTCCAATCTGCTTCCGAGGTTCCGGGCCTTCCACGCTCTGTTTTGCAAAAACTCCCACCTATATGCAACCTTTCAGACTTGCGGGGCCGAATTGCGAGCTTCGCCACTTGAGGCATTTCGGGTCCAACACAGACTTTATCAGCACGGCTTTAAAACCTCCAGAAGCCAAGTCTGCTCGCTCCCTGGCCTCCTTCCCCAACTCCCCGAGCTGCTTCTCCTTGATGGTCAGGTCTGCTCGGCCTCCACCAGGTTCTGCTTTTAATTCTATGCATGCGCATGCGTGAAAACTGCCTCGGCTCGACGGCGTGTAAAGCAACCCCCGGTGTCCTGTCGCAGCGACTTCTGCTGACGTCTTCTCGACGTCGCGCTCGTCGCAAACATCCTGGGCCAGTCGGCACAAGGTCACGCGTGGAAGCACTCTACTGCCCACCCCCGGCCTCGGCAAGCTTCCGATCATGTTCGGACTCCAGGGCTGTCGAGCCCTCCGAGATCTGCCTTGGTGGGAACATGCGAGGCTTGTTGACACGCTCGAAGACCTTAACAGCCCTTAACGGGGAATTGAGCTAGAAAGTTCACAGCGACTGGCCTCCTCTGCTCTTCGGATTTCTCGGTCTCCGCCTCCACCGGTGCAGCGCGCTGCTGCACATCCGCGACCTTCCCTCGGCAGAGGCATCGACCACGGCCCCATGTTTCGTGTCTTAACATCTGTTAGGCCGCAAGTGCTCCAAAACAACGAAGGGTTCTCGAGCATAGCTTGGCGGTATTTGAAAAGCAATAGAACCTCGAAGAGCTGGGAGGGCTTTCGTGCGATTCTCCTACAGCGAAAACTGGTTCGAAACAAAGTGTCCCTGCTGCTGGCGTAGCTCCCGCGAGGCCTCCGCTCGCTGGTCCTTTCAGGCAAGAAGCCGAAGCTGGGCTTACATTGCGTGAGCTTCACCCTTATCGAATGCAATATTCCTGAGTTCACAAGAATGCTCCAGGACGTCGATGCGCTGCTGGGCAGAGCACCACTCCCGGTCGGTCAATTCATACTCTACCGTACGTCCCCAGAACCGGCGCCTTTTGAAAGAAATGCTGTCCTCGGCATCGCACAGGCCTGCCAGCGGTGGCTCCGCTTTGCAGCACCTTTGCTTGTGCTGCTGGCAGGCATGTCAGAGATTCCATCATTCTTGAAAGATGGTAGCAACAAGTCTCCCGACTCCGCCCAGACTCTGACCCCTTGTTCATCTAAACCTTCGGCCTGCTGCCACGTGATGAAGAACTTACGGCAAGAAACCTGACTTCATCATGTTGCGCATCACACGCAGAGCAGTTATCGCTGCGGCTGTTGGCATGATGTAGGTTAGGGCAAGGGGGCTGTCGGGTTAAAGTGCCTGCTTCGTCACGAAATAGATGTACGTTTCTGGCGAGATGTTCTTGAGGCAAATGGCTCTGCACTGTGCGGCAAAGAATTCCAAACACTGAGCTTGAATTCTGCAAGCGGCGAAAGCGCAGCGAAGCCCAAAAACCGTCTTTAGATTCGGGCTACAAACACAGGTCAAGCCCATCAAGCGGCTTCAACGATGCGAGGCCGTTCCATTCTTCTAATAAGAAGATCCAAAATATATATATATATATATATATATATATATATCTTATCATTGTTTGATAAGATTAATAATCTTCCAAAAGAAGGGATCCAGAATAAATTTTCAAATCGAGCGGAGGGGAATTTCAAAAAGCGCGTCGTATCCCGTAGAGCAGGCCCCTCCGTTCCTTTGTGCAAATGTATCCTGAAAGTCACTTCAGCCCAGCTGCTCCTCTTCCAAGATTTCAACAGCAGAATGGAGGTCTTGCACTTGCTCTTCAAGAATGCTGATTGTCATCTTGCTCATGAGATTGGCATCGTCAAGCTTCTTGGCTTCCCATTGCAACCTCGACACGCATGTCACTCGCAAAGGACACCAGCATGGACAGCGTAAACATGACACTTCCTGAACTTGACAAAGTCTCCGCTCCTAGCCGAGGCGCTGCTTTTCGAGTTTCTGGATTTTCTTGTGCGCCTTCTCCAGTGCATTCTCCAGTTGCTCCCGGTCCACTTCATTGCCGTCAACTGGAATAAGCATAGTAGTTGTGGACCTGATGAAGATAAGATTGTGCTCTGCAGCTCAGTACTGCTGCTGCAAACCCTCTGCAAACAAAATCCTAGGACAGCATCTCCTCTGCCAGGCCTCCTCTACCCCTGACACGCATGCTACGCTGCTACACAGTGTCAAGACTCAAGGTCGAGAGGCCAGTGCGCGTCGGCAGGGGGCCAGAAGTTGGAAGAAGTATGGATGGGAAGTGCATGCCCAACGTCGGCCAGGTATGCTGGGTGGGGCGTGTTCTGATCCTGCCAGGGCATGCATCAGAGCAGACAAGGTCTGCTAAGGCTGACGGCAGATCTTGTGCTCTCGCCACGGCCTGCTCCCACTGGACGTCCCACCACAGCGGCAGCTGGTACGCATGCAGCCACCCCGACTGATCGGGCTGTGCAGCGTACTGCTCTGCCCAGACTGCCCAGAGCGCTCCGGGCATCTCCATTCCGCAAGTACGACCATACCTGAAGTCTACATTCTACATCGCAAATCCAAAAATGCTGACAACTCGCAGAGTCGAGGACGGAAGTGCAGCCGAGGCTCTCGGCGTCCATGAACTGAGCACCGTTCTCATATCCCCAATCGCCAGTGTGCCGGCACTTAAAACGCGCCATGGCGGAAGAGGGCAACAGGGGGTACTTCGGAGCTCAGAGTTTGCCTCCGCTCGAGGAGCTGCAAAAGGCTTACGGGAAGGAGATTGGAATTGCTGCTGTCCTCTATGCTGCTGTGGTGCTTTAAGGAGGGCGTCTTGAGATGCATGCAAGCCTGAGGATGTGTTGCATGCCAGCTGGAGGGTTCAACTGCAAGGTGCTCTATGCTGCTGTGGTGCTGTCGTGCCCTATGCTGCTGTGGTGCTCTGTGGTGCTCCGTGGTGCTCTGTGGTGCTCTATGGTGCTCTATGCTGCTGTGGTGCTTTAAGGCAGGCCTCTTGTGATGCCTGCAAGCTTGAAAATGTGTTGCATGCCAGCTTGAGGATTCAACTGCATCAGCTCGCATATAGGCTTCGACGATAAGTTGCTATGGCCTTCACGTTGCATCGACAACTGCTGCTGCTACGGCTACTACTACCTGCGGCCACAGCTCCTGCTACTGCTCCCTGGCACTGCTACGGCTACTGCTCTTGCTGCCGCTCCGGCTACTGCTGCGGCTACTGCTACGGCTACGGCTCCGGCTACTGCTACTACTACGGCTGACGTCGCAACACCCGGAGTTTAATGAACCGCGCGAGGACTTGAGGCGGCCCTCCAGGAGGTGCCCTCCCTGTGGAGGCAGCTGCTGGCCTTGCAACATGCAAGCTGCCGCGCGCAAGAGGCTCTTCGGCTCTAGGGTTTCGGGTTCAGGGCTCAAGGGGTTCAAGGTTTAGGGATGTCGGGCTGTATTAGGCGCTTCCGGCTCATGACATTTCTTAAATCAGCCCAGTCATTTGGCGATTCCGGTTCATCATATATTCTGAACACACACCCGACGGTTTGTCCTGGAGCTCAGGGTCAGGCCAAAAACCTATCTGGATAAATCTCTGGAGGAATGAGGTTAATTCATAGGTCTGGGCTCGCGGATAAAACCCTAGGCTTGACACAGACTCGATGCGGAGATAGGATCGCCAATTTTCAGAGACATGTTGACGGAGACAGGTCGGATAAACCTCTAGGGCTCAACCCCGCAGACGGTAGAGGGTCACTTGTGACTTCTGTTTTGTCTCACTTGTGACTTCTATTCTGTCTCACTTGTGACTTCCCACTTTCTGCCCATAGGGAAGCGGAATCGCCAAACGAAGGGCCGTGTTTGAGATAGATGATGAAGGTGCATGGCCATGGGGGCGTGTTTAAGATAGATGATGAAGTAGCATCGACAAATGAGGGGGCGTGTTTAAGAATATGCGGAAGCGGCATCGCCAAATGAGGGGGCGCGTTTTGAATAGAGGATAAATAGCATGGCCAAATGAGGGGGCGTGTCTAATGTGTAACATATTCGATAAACCGGAATCTCCAAATGAGGGGGCGTGTTCAAGATATAGCTTGAACCGGAATCGCCAAATGAGGGGTGGTGTCTAAGATATATGAGGAACCGGCATCGTTAAATGAGAGGATGCGTTGAAGAATATGAGGCAGTGGAATCGCCAAACGAGGGGGCGTGTTTAAGATAGGTGACGAAGTAGCATCGCCGAATGCCATATGAGGGGGCCTATTCAATGATGAACCGCAATCGCCAAATGAAGGGCCGTGCTTAAGATATACGATAAATCGCGCTGCTGCCCCCCCCCCTTCCCCCCCCCACCCCCCATGGTATGGTCCCCCTGCCCCTGGTGTGGTTCGGGGTTTGGGTCTGCTTGGGCTGCCTCCGCCCCTGTGATATTGTGTGGTTCGGGGTTTGGGTCTGCGTGATCATCATCATGATCATGAACATGATGGACCCCCCCCCTGTGGTGTGGTGGTTCAGGGTTTGGGATGGTTTGGGTCTGCGTGGGGTGCCTCCCCCCACCCCCCTGTGGTGTGGCGTGGTGTGATTCGGGGTTTGGGTCTGCTTGGGGTGTTTTGCATAATCATCAGCATCATCTGCATCATCAGCATCAGCAGCGTCATCAGCATCATCATGATCATGAACATGATGGTCCCCCTGCTCCTCCCTGTGGTGTGGCGTGGTTCGGGGTTTTGGTCTGCGTGGGGTGCCTCCCCCTGGGTCTGCGTGGGTTGCCTCTCCCTGGTGTGGCGTGCTTCGGGGTTTGGGCCTGCTTGGGCTGTTCAGGTACAATAATCATCATCACCATCATCACCATCATCATGATCATGAACACGAGCATCATGATCATGAACATGAGCATCATGATCATCATCATGTCGTTCCTTTCTGTTTATTTATCTTGTGTCACACTGGCGATCTTCCTGACAATTGGGTCAACTGTCACAGGGATCGGGCCTGTCAGGGACGTTGGTCCTGTTCACAGTTGCCTGTTTTCGGACCCTCATGTACGAGTCGTGGTTGGAAAGTGCCCATTGTCACAAGGATCGGGCGTGTTTGGGACGCGATCCTCGTGACCGGTTTGGGCGCCTTCACGTGGGAGACGTGCACGGTGAGGGGCGCCATCCTCGTGACAGTCGACGGTTTTGGAGCCTTTACGTGGGAGTCACATGCCTCCGGTGTGGGGGGGGTGGGGTGGGGGGGTGGGGGGGTGGGGGGTGGGGGGGGTGTAGGGGGGTGTAGGGGCCCGGGACCCGAGACCATTTATGGGGAACCGGCATCGCCAAAAGAGGGGGCGTGTTGAAGATATGTCTTGAACCGGAATCTCCAAATGAGGTGGCGTGTTTAAGATATATTGTGAAACGGAATGGCCGAATGAGAGGCCGTGTTTCAGATAGATGACGAAGTAGCATCGCCGTGTTTGAGAGATATGATGACGTAGCATCGACAAATGAGGGGGGCTGTTTTAGATATGTGTTGAACCGGAATCGCCGAATGAGGGGTGCATTTACGAATATGGAGAACCGGAATCGCCAAACGAGGGTGCGTGGTTAAGAATGATGACGGAACCGGCGTCGCCAAATGAGAGGCCGTGTTTAAGATAAAGATGATGATGTAGCATCGCGAAATGAGGGGGCATGATTAATTAAGATATGTGTTGATTCGCAAAATGAGGGGGCGTGTTTAAAATAGATGACGAAGTAGCATCGCCAAATGACGGGGCGTATTATCTTGAACCGGAATCGCCAAATGGGGAGGGGTGTTTAAGATATATGGGGAACCGGCATTGAAGCTGGGCTCCGAGCAAGCTTGCCCCGAAGCCCTCGCAGGTGACGACCCTATAGAGGCGCCGATAGGAAGTTAAGGGTTGTGGGTGTAAGGTTGAGGAGTTGAGGAGTTAAAGGTTTGGGATTGTTTCAACTACGAGTTTGGGGTGTGGGATTATAGCCAAACCATGGCAAGCTTCTGCACGCAGAGCTGCTTCATGCAATCATGCAGCCATCTCTTCAGTAGCCTGGACAACAAACCCCAAACCCTGTCAGCCTCCCAAAACAAGAGACCGTACAGGTGCTGTAACAGAACAAGCTCACGCAAAAAAAGTGCGCCCAGAATGCTCATCGTTAGCGATGCAGACAAATCGCTGCGCTACTATAGCTGGCCTCGCCCGAACGGGCAGTTGAGGGTTGGGTTTGGAGGGATTTGTGCGGGAATTGCTCTCCCGCGAGGCCAGCAAGAACGATCGTAATGCCGGGATATTGCGGCCTGAGCCCCTGCTGCCTCTAACCAGGGTTTTCACTCCCGGCTTGCAGCGCCAGAGGGTGGGTCTCTGGCATGCTGCGCAGGCCGCCCTAGGACAGCCTGCGACAGGGGCTTCCGCTCCCTGCCCGACAGGGGCTTTCGCTCCCTGCCACCCTGAACACCTCGAAAACAAAACCGGAGTCTGTGCCTCAAGTTCTGAGGCAAAGATTCCATCTCCATCGCCGCCGTCGCGCATTCGTGTCGCGGCTGTGGGACTTAGAGACGCATAAGGCTTGAGGGTTCAGATTTCATCGAGGAGCGTCACGGAGCAAGCATATGCTAGCTGAGCGTTCAAAGCTTGAGAAAGCTCTCAGGGAAGTGCTGAAAACTCCAGGGGACAAACTTGAAGCTCAAAAAAGAGCCGAATTAGAATTCTTGCAGTTCTCCTGTGCCCAGCCACCTTGCCCTTGGATCTTTGGCCATCTGCTCCTCGACCGTGGTGGCGACAGGGTGAGAAAGTCAGAAATTGCATGTTGACTAAATTCGGTCTGGACCTACGAAAGCACGGGATGGCAGGGCATTGGACTGCGATTTCCAAGAGTTCACGTGCAAAGGCGTTGTCTCTTTTCAGGCCTACAGGGGTCTCGCAAGTAGGAAAGAAGGCAGCAATCTGGGATGACAAGACTTTCGGTAATTGCTTATGATTTCCATTTATTGCACCGCCGGCTTCATTTCCCAGGGGCTCGAAAGCGGATCTGGGAGAGAACACTGACTCGTCGACCTAGTGCGATCTTAGGCCCCCTCCCTCTCCGACAAAAAACTGCCTGGGCATGGAAGATACTTGCCGTGGCCTTAAGACGAGGGGCGGTGCAGTCCTCGCCGTCTGTCTGGCACGCCGCATCAGCCGTAGACCTTGCAGGGCACAGCATGGTGAAGGAACAGCTTAGCAGGTCGCTGAGACTCGCTGGCAGAGGTCAACAGCCTCCCCTCGTCGATAGCGTGGCGATCGGCGAGCTCTGTCTGGGCCGAGGCCTTGGCTCAAGCTGGCACCAAAAGGTTACGGACCCAACTCACAATATACCACTTGCCTGCAAGCCTTGTATCTGGCACTGGTGAGGGACCGGAACTGGAACGAGCCCAAAGTTTAATTCGCGCAAAAAAAACTATCAACTACGACCAGAATGCGGCCCTGAACCGCAGTCCCGGACGCCCCCTAGTCACTAGTCCACACCCCTGTCGCAAGCTACCGCT